GCAATATACGCAGTGAAACACGTAGTCTACTAATGCATGAGGAATTTAGTTACCTCAATCCGCGCGTGGAAATTTAGGTTTCCATCAATCACGCGTGGATGGATCTCGCAATCCTGCAAGGTATTCTTTTACTTATAGGAAAACATGATTTGAAAGGTCAAAATCTATTTTCCGAGCCATAGGTTTCAAAACATAGACTGCATGTATCAATGTGGGGAATCTCAGATTTTCCACTGTGGGTTATTAATTTCCTATATTACTACAAAAGCATTTTTCAGTTTATATCCCGAGCTTCAACTAAATATTGTCAGTTGCTTTATTTTGAGATTAGAACAAATGTTGACTATATCAAGATAACTAGCAACATTTAAAAATAATGAAGCGTCAACTCTGAACTCAATATTGAAACCTGGAGTGTGACGAATTTCCGGAACATGATGCAGTTAGTTGTTTTTATTCATTTTATTTGACACACAAACCTTATTAACAGCAACTTATAATAGCTGATGAAGTTATCTTTCCTGATTATGCTCCAACATTACTACTGATATCATAGTTATAAGGTTTCTATAAAATTTCTATAAAGTTTACATGATGATTATAAAATTCCCCTGATTATAGTAATACCATCGCTTTGATAAGGCCAATAATGCCTTAGCATGTATATACTCATTATATAGGTTAAGCTTTGAAAAACAATTTCAAATAATACATAAACATGAACATTTCAAAAATATTACCTAAACATGATTAAATGTTCTGAACATACGAAAAGAACTGGAAATATTGATCAAATAATCAACTCATAGTTCGCTGAGCAATAACACTGTTCGACTGGTCAGATCGAGTAAATTCTTAGGCAAAATTCAAAACCCTGTTTATTTAAGCGACGCTGTGAAACGTAACATTTCTATTAATTAAAAATATATGGATTTGCGTGCATAGGCCAGGGTTTTTGCTATTTAAACCGTTCTCTCGACGCGAGATCACCTGGTAAAAGTATAAGATATGTTGGATGATTTAATATTTCAGAAGAGTTTATACTAAACGCTACTCTCGTAGATAATAAAATCGTCATTTTCATTATTTACTTCACGCCTTTGGTGTGATTCCGTTTCGCCAGCCGTGGAATTGTCATGATAGGGTATACTCAATTCAGTCTGACGTAATTCAGGTTTTGCAGCCGTCAGTTTGTTCACTAATGGTTTCACCCGTTGTTTCAACTGTTGTTTCCACGCATCTTTCTGATCTTCTCCTTTTTTCGCCCCAACAATATTCATAATGTAAGGAAAAGCACTCACGCTGAACGTTGTGAGTAACTGGACTGTTGGGGAAACATCGCTGGCTTGAAGAACTCGAACAAGAGTGAGAATAAAATAGAGAAAAGAAAAGTGAAGAAAACTTTTAACGCGAAGTAAAAAAGACTTACATGGTACGGTAAGAGGCGTTCTCTAATATCATCATAGAGTTCCTTTGATACCACGCACACAATTTTACTACTTTCATCCAACACACCACTTCCTCCACTGCCGAAGTCATTATCAACAATGTTCAAGTATGAACCACTCACGTTGTTGAGGACATTGTCTAGTTCATTATTAAGGTGATTATTGTTGTTGTTGTTGTTGTTGTTGTTGTTGTTGTTGTTGTTTTGTTGTTGTTGTAATCCATGTTGCAATCATAAATCAGCCTCATCAAGACGACATATTGTTGTTCAACAGATGACCAAAACATCCAGGAGTAAAATGACAGAATTGATATGTAAACAATGTAAGGGAAAAAGAAGACAATATGAGAATTATGCCTGAGAGCAACTCAATTACAATGGGAGGAGTGTAGGAAAAACAAACGGATACTGGAAACAAGAGAAAAAATACATTACATATATACATATAGAAGGCTATAAATCGTCGCCTCCTTCTGCTGGTGATGGCCCTACGAACAGCTGAAACAAGTAACGTATACATGCATGCAAACATTAAAGCAACTTGCAATATAAAAACAACTGGAATGTAAACCAAACAAAGAAAAACAAATTTAATGTACAGCAGAACTTTACACCGAACAAAACATCGTGATGTATTAGAGGACTTGACAGATTCAAAAAATTTAATCAACGATTTTTTCCACAGTTTTATGTTAAAAGGCAACGTGGCTAAACCAATGACTTTCGATTTAGACTTGCGCGACAAATAGATATCTATGTCATAACTAAAATAATGAAATGCTGCACTTAAATTAGGAAACAAATAGAATAGTCCTGAGAAGTCCATTTTCCCACAAAAATGCTCAGCATCGTAATATATGATGGACAAAGGAATGGACAGCGCCGAAAGAGCAAAAAGCACAAGAAAAAAAACGCCAAAGTAATCGAACAATTTAATTGTCCAAGACAACAGGAAGACCACTCCCAAGAGCAAAAACCTGCGTACAAAAGATCTCACTCTTCCAAAACCATCCCAAAATAACAGACGCAGAATGGATAGTAATGACATCGGACTTTCCGTTAACCTGTAATAACCATTGACCTTATTCTCCTTTTTGTATAGTAATATGATGGCAATACAGAATGACACAGGCAGAGATAAAAATTGGCCGTAGAAAATCACCGATAACATCGATTTAATTGTGCGCACGAATTCAGATTCATCTGACCTCACATAACAATGAGGATTATTGTTAAAACTCTTGCAGCATCTCTTTTGCGTGGTTTGTCTCGAATTTTTGTTGAAACAAATTTCTTTCTCCTGGATCGTAGACAGTTGGCTCAAAAGAGCTCCAGCAAGAAAATCCTCTGGTGATTTTTTAGATGTCCAACATCCGGCAGGACTATCACTTACACACAATCCACTTGTTTTTCTGCCAACGTCGAGAGCCCAAGTCAACCCAGTATGCGCAATACTATGCCCAATGACTTTTATTGTGCGCAATGCCAAGATATTATGACCGATATTGTCTGTCCACAGCCAACTCCACTTCTCAATGGTGGAATTGTTCTTTTTAGATGTGAATTGAAGATCAAGTTGTACAATATGAATAATCTTATTTCGACCTAGTTCCTGTAGAAACCACAAATCTGTTTCGTTCACGATCAAACAACATTCCTCATTTGTTTGACTTGAGGAAGTCGTTGTGATATTGTAAGTGTGGTTTTGACTGGTAAATGTGCGCCCTTCGTGACCGTCAGCTGTTACCCAAAACGAAATACCAAGAACCAAGAGAACATACAGAAAAGATGTAACCATTTTGAGTTGAAAAAGCATTTCTTACAATGAATGAATGAATGCTTCCCTTTGTCTGATTCAAGTCAGCAAAATATGTGTATTATTAATGTCCTTGCGTCATACTTGTTGCCGAGATAATGTCGTCATACTTGATTGATTGACTGACTGTACAGATGGTATCGTACGACTGATGCGATAGTGAAATCTACAGCCTTTAAGCCTTTATACTCACATCAAATGTGGTAGTAACAACTGCCTAAAATAAACAATGTCAATGACACTTCTCGACGTCTCAACTTTCTTGGTGGTCATATTTCCATAACCATTGTGTAGAGGCGGCAGGGCTTCCACAAAATGTTTGCATATGGCTTTCCTCGCAGACGGATGGGATTAGAGACAAATTAGGGCAATTAATACCGAGCCTACCACTCATGGTATTCGTCTTGTGCAAAGAAAACTCCCGCTTAGAGGGTAATGCTCACATTTTATCAGCACGGCATTTTAACAGCTTCTCCCAACGTCGAGAGCCCAAGTAGGCCCAGGCGGCCCAGTCCATGAGGCCCAAGCCATTGATAATTTTACTGCGAGCAATGCCAAGATATTATGACCGATATTGTCTGTCCACAGCCAGCTCCACTTCTTAATGATGGCATTGCTCTGTTTAGAGGTGAATTGAAGATCAAGTTGTACAATATGAACAGCTTTATTTCGACCTAGTTCCTGTAGAAACCACAAATCTCTTTCGTTGACGATCAAACGACATTGCTTGTTTGTTTCACTTGAAGCTCTTGTAATATTGTAAGTGTCGCTGTGATTCGTAAATGAATGCACTCCGTGAGTATCAGCTGTTACCAATAAAACAATACCAAGCACGCAGAGAACACATTGGAAAGAGGTAACCATTTCGAGTGAACAAGAACTATTAGCACTGAGTGTTAGCTTTCGTTTAGTGCAAAGAAATGAAAAACGTAGCGAAATATATCGCTAAACCTCAGTTACATTTCCATATCCATTGTATAGGGGCGGTAGGGTTCCCACAAAATTTGCATGTGGCTTTCTTTGCAAAGGGATGGGATTGTAAGAAGACAAAACGAACTTTTTAAAAGAATGTTTAATAATATTAATACCTACCCTACCCCCACGGTAATGATCTTGTGCCAATATTGTTAAGACATGCTGTGAGTAAAATTCTTCATCGCCATGCACGGTAGATTATATTATGAATTGATTACAGTTAGCTATATAATTTATAGGTGAAATGATGCAAATGAGTGTAGCCAATAAAATTATATGAATTCAATTACCTCGAAATTTAGGTTTCCATAAGCGCCCAGGTTTCCATCAAGCGTGGATGAATCTCGAATGTGTCAATCCGTGAGAAATATTTAAAGCAACAAGCACAGTGTTGTTAAAACACGCTGTGAGCTCGCCATGAGGTATTAATGGTGGCTGCGTAGCCATTAACTTTTATCTATATGCTGTTGTTTGGCATTATTATAAATATAGGTCATTGCATCGCGCATATATATATATATATATATATATTATATATATATATATATATATATATATATATAATATATATATATATATATAATATATTATATATATATATATATATATATATATATATATATATATATATATATGTAACAAGTTGTTTCAAATCCAAAAGGCTACCTTTGGAAATTCGCTCCGACCATTCCATAACTTACATTGTCAAAACATAGCTTTTTATGCATAGAAATACGCTCGGTATAGAATAAATCTGCCTACCTCATTAAAGCCATTGTGACGTGTTTCCTCGACTTCTTTCTTCAAATTGTTTATTTCATTATCCTTATTCATCAAGAGCTTGGCTCGTTCAGCAAGATCTTTGGCTCTCTGTCGTGCAAACGCCCTCTTGAGATTGCCCACATCGGGGTTATTCATTCCGCTTGATTTCTAGCAAGAATTTTGAGCAGAACTGCATGTGAGTCGAAACACATGATTTTCAATACAAATAATATTTTCTCGAATACACTCAGTCGTTGGTCTGCTAACTCGGGATTCTATAACTGGGGTTGTATAAACGACTATAGTTAACTTTTAACTGCAGTCAAGGACAGAATTGGCCAATCAAAGTCATGATTTAACTATGATTTAACTATGCAAATGTAGTTTAAAGAGTTTCACACAACCGGCCCCTGATTGTAAGGGGCTGTTTACATGAGCCCGGTTACCCGAGATTGAACGAAGCGTGAGATGATTTTGAGGTATCAAAATGAGCAGATGACATGATCCTGCATGGCAGTCGTATAATCACCACAACAATAGCATGTGCATTGTGCGACTTATCAAATACCCAAAACATTGTTGAGTTTCTTAATTGTTAGAACAGTAACAACACCATTGCTAGATCTGGCCAGGCTATGCCATTTTAATCTATTTATACACAATATACGATAGGTTAATTACACAATTGCAATTCTGACGAATGAAAAACAGTGTTTACCAACTTTATGCCATATTTTTGTTCATTCGTTGATAGTGGAATTTAAAATCTGACGTTTACACTCGTGGGAATCGAATATGCTACAATTAACCGTACGGTGTGTGGGGCTTTATTGTGTCGAAGATTAGTCACAGGATAAAAACGAGAAGTTCGCATCGTAGATTTTGTGGTTATTGTAATTCATTACTTAGGCTGCAAAACTTCCATTAGGCCTATTTCCACCGTTTCAGAAAAGGGATAAAAATTATAGGCTGTTTAATTAAACAATGTCAAAGCTGATTGCATATAAAATAAATTAGAAATGGTTAATAAGTTCATGACCAGGTACATAATTCATCGCTATACTATTGCTACTCTCAATATTTAAAACCAGAGTAGGGATAATAGCAATGAATTGAAACTGGGTTCCTAAGACATGGTGACGTTTTCGAGCGTTTTTATTTTCGTCTTCATGCGAAAACGGTTTCAAACACCGTCGATTTACAGTAGAAGTTGAAGCTAATTCAACATATCGTCACAGCTGTTAAAACAACCCCTTTTTTGTATGATTCTATCCGCGGGATCGTCGGGGCCGTATGAGGGACAGCTCTGATAATATTAATACAACTTCCTTCTCTTTTCTTATATATTTATTTTGTTGTCGTGCCCCAGACCAAGTCATCAACCTTCTCTCTTAACCTTCTCTTTTAACCAGTGCAACCCGTGATGTTTTATACTCTAAACTATAGTGCGTTATTGTGCATTGTTCATTGTTCATTGTGCATAGTGCAAAGTGCAAAGTGTTGTCATTTCCATGTGTCCATCACGTGCGAAACCCTTGGGTGCATATAACAACAATTTCCCTTATATTACATATCTCTCCCCTTTAGATGAAAACCTCCTGGTTTTCTGTTAGGCCAAAACGTAAGCATTTTTCTTGTATTCATTGCAATACAAGGTTAAAACAATTATAGTTAGCTCCTCGTTGACGGTTCGTTTATCATAATCATATTGTTCTTTCTCTTGTCCATCTTTTCTTCTCTTGTAATTGCGTTTTTCTCTTTATTGACGGCAGTAAGCTTCTCTGTTGGACGTTGCCACGCGATGATAATTTTGTGTTGTCAAGTTTATGCAATTAGTGACCATACTAGCTGTACTCACTTTTACTAGCGTTGGAAATTTGACATGAACCAAGAATAGGAAAGAAGGATGTCGTGCCAAGGAATTTACAAAGACACAACGTATGGTAACAAAACATAACATAACATAAAGAGTGCAATTTGTGACAAAATAACATACAATACAATGCCTAGATCTTAGCTCAACATTGACGTTAACAAAGCACAGTTCCATGCAAGTACGAAATAAAACGCAATTTGACTTCAGCCACAGGCACAATGTGTGCAGGAGGGTTGGGAACAACAGTAGTCAAATTGTCCATTGTTTCATCTGCTTCGGCCGAAATGGTAATTAGAAACAACGCAGGGACTACGAAATCGAAAGTCTAAACCATAAAACTATGAATTATCGGTCAGTTAGAGGTACAGTCTGTGTTTTCAGTGTTTGTCATGACCATGTCTGTCTCATCAATCCATGAATTGTGTGTAGGGCTGTAACCTTCCCATTTGACGAAAAATTGTTTCTTACCTTTTCGAGTGCGTGTTTTAAGAATTCGCTAAGAATTCGAAATATTATAAACAGGTTCATGCACCTTAGCTGCTGTATTGTCCGTAGACTGCTGTGGCGCGGTATTGTTTTCGTTTTGCTGGTTGTGATGGGGTAGTTCGTTCTCGGGAATTGGTGGGTCGGTTGGCACATCCTGATTGGGAGGGTTTTGAGGACGTGAATCTGGGTCATAGTACGGTTTCATTCTGTTGGCATGTACTGTAACGGACACGAGGCGGTTATCACAGGTTCTTAGTTTGAAGTGTACTGGAGAGCATTTTGCGACAATGCGGAATGGCCCGTGCCAATGGTGCATAAGTTTTCGCGACAAGCCTTTCTTGGTTTTGGGCGTGTACACCCATACTCTATCACCGATTGCAAAGGTCGGTTCGCGAGCGGACTGATCATATACAGTTTTCATGGCTTGCTGAGCGCGTTGAATATTCGTACGAGCTATTTCCTGCGCTTCTTCGATTGCTTCGACGATACGCGCGCGATGCTCGTGTATGGATCTCGTCTCGTTACGCGAAGGGAGGAGAGTGACGTCCATAGGTAGTCTAGCTTCTCGACCGTAGAGGAGGTAAAAGGGACTTTCTCCAGTTGTGTCGTGAGGGCTAACACGATATCCGAAAAGGATAGCAGGGATATGTAAGTCCCAGTCTTTCTGGTTGCGGCTGACGTACATGGATATTGACTGGCACAAGGTGTGATTAAAGCGCTCAACCATGCCGTCCGTTTGAGGATGATATGCTGTTTTGTTGACTTTTTTCGTATTAAGTAGGTCGCAAACGGAGCGAACCAGTGATGATAGGAAGTTTGTACCGCGATCGGACAGAAGGGGTTCGCGGTGCACCATGCCTAGCCAAGATCTCGTCCACAAGAAGGTTGGCGATAGTCGGAGCATCGATTTTTGGGACCGCAAATGCTTCAAGCCAGCGTGTCAAGTATTCTGTGAATACAACAACGTATCGGTTACCAGTATTCGAAACAGGGAATGGTCCTAAGCAGTCGACAGCCAACCGGTCAAAGGCGTTTTCTACCGGAATTGGTAAGAGAGGGGCCTTGTGGCGGTTTTAGGAGATTTTTTCATGGCGCAATCCACACAAGTCTTACACCACCGATCAATATCACTGTACATGTTGCGCCAGTAGTATCGAGTGCGGAGTTTGGCGTAGGTCTTTTGAGTACCCAGATGGCCTGCAGTAACATCATCATGTGCCCAGATTAAAATCTCGGATTTCAGAGCATCAGGGATAACTAAGCGAGAACATACGTCTTGACGTCTACGTTTATTGGGAGTCCACAACGAAAAGAGCAGGTCATGTTCGTCCAGGTAAAATGTGTCACGGTGCAACACAAGGGAACGAGCGCGGTTTTGGTTCGCTGGGAGGTGATCATTTTCTAAGTAGGCAATGAGATCAGCAAGCTCTACATCACTGCGTTGGAGACGACGAATTCGTGCGATTGGTACGCCCGGTAGATCATATGCACTATGGTCGGCGGTATTTTATAAGGACGACGAGAAAGAGCATCAGCATCCGAGTTCATCTTACCTGGTTTGTGCACGATAGTAAAATTATATTGTTGGATAAGAAGAGCCCAACGCGCAAGTCGACCATTTGGATTCTTTAAGGACATTAACCAGCGCAGCGAATGATGATCTGTGTAGATTGTGAATTTGCGGTCGTCAAGATAGTTCCTGAATTTTTTTATGCCTTCTATAATCGCTAGAGCTTCACGCTCGGTGGTAGTGTAATTACGTTCGGCAGGGTTTAGATCACGCCCGCCATATGCTATTGCGCGGTTTAACCCTTCTTGCACTTGACACAGCGCATAGCCAATACCGGTTGAAGAGGCGTCGGTGTGGAGCTCAAAGGGGCGAAAAACTTGGATAAGCTAGAATAGGCGCGCTAGTAAGAGCTGATTTCAGGTTGGTAAATGCTGTTTGGCATGCGTCATTCCAAGAAAAGCGAACATGCTTGTGTGTTAACTGGTTTAACGGCGAGGCTATTGCAGCAAAATTTTTATGAAGCGTCTGTAATAATTAGCCAGACCCAAAAAACTACGAACTTCGCGAGTACAGCGTGGAATAGGGAATTCTTTAACTGCGCAATTTTAGCAGGATCAGGGCTAATGCCATCGCGAGAAACTAAATGTCCAAGATATTCGACGCTTGGGCGCGCAAACAAGCATTTGCTAGGTTTGAGCTTAACATTAGCAGCGCGGAGCTGGAAAACATCATTGAGATGCAATAAGTGGTCTTCGAATGTTCTGGAAAAGATTGATAATATCATCCAGGTAACAAGACAAATCATATATTGGAGGCCGCGCAGAACTGCGTGCATCAGACGCTGAAATGTAGAAGGGGCGTTGGCGAGGCCAAATGGCATTTTCCTAAACTCGAACAGTCCAGCATGGGTAGCAAAAGCTGTTTTAGGTTTGGATTCCTCGTCCATCTCAACCTGCCAATACCCTGACCGGAGGTCCATGCAGAAAAGTAGGCGGTGCCATGTAAGCAGTCCAAAGTATCCTGTACATTTGGAATTGGATGAGAGTCACGCCGAGTGACACTGTTCAACTTACAAAAACGTTCGCTACCGTCTTTCTTCTTAACCAGCACTACTGGGGCTGCCCATGGGCTAACGGATGGTTGAATCGTTCCTTGGTTTAGCATTTTTTCAACATGTGCATCGATCCGATCGCGTACAGCCGGCGAAACGCGGTAGGGTTGTTGACGAACTGGAGAGGCATTACCTGTGTCAATGTGATGTTGCACGAGTGAAGTTTGTCCTAGTTCG